TCACCACGATTTTTACGTGCCCCACTATTCCAGCTGAGAAACTGACTTTGAGAGAGAAGTTAGGTTGTTTGTGCCATGACACACAGCAAGGTAGAGGCCAAACTAGAACTGCCAGGCTGCTGGTAGTTGTTAGAATGTGGTTACTACACAGGAGTGATACAAGAAGGGGTTATGACTGCAGTTAACTGCCCTGACTACGTCAAGTTTGCGTACATCTTCAACACTTTGGGAAAATGGTTTGACATTTTTTTTATTAAGGCTGATAATGCTAATTCTCTATTCTCCAGCCATTTCACTTCTACTCTAGAAACTCAAGCACGTATGCACCAGGATACACAGCCAAGAATATTCACAGCAACATTTTCGTAATATCCCCAACCTGGAAAAAACTCAGGTGTTCATCAACAGCAGAAAAGATGGTGAATTGGGGTATTTTCATACATTTGAATGCTCAATAAGATATGTGGATCTCACAAATATAACCCTTGGGCCAAAGAAGAATTTACAATAGAAACTTAGAATATGACTCCGTTAATACAAAACCCAAAACAAGGAATGTAATCCTATCGTTTAAGAATGTTGAGGGGTGCCTGGCTGGCTCAGTCGGTTAAGTGTCCGACTTCGGCTCAGGTCACGATCTCATGGTTTGTGAGTTCGAGCCCCACGTCAGGCTCCGTGCTGACAGCTCAGAGCCTGGAGCCTGCTTCGGAGTCTGTCTCCTTCTCTCTGCCCCTGCCCTGCTCACACTCTGTCTCTCAATAATAAATAAACGTTAAAAAAAAAAAACTGCTTTAAAAAAAAAGAACGTTGAGATCGATGGTAAAATTATAAAGAAAAGCATGAACAAGATGATCTCAGCAATCAAGGTGGTGATTACCTATGGTATGGCAGAAGGGAGAGATGATCAGGAATGGATTTCTGGGGTGTCAGCAACGATCTCTTTCTTGACCTGGGTGACAGTATATAGGTGTCGCTTTATAATTATTGTTCAAATTATGCTTAATGATTCTTTACATTTTTTTCTCAGTAGTCTCTGAATTGACGGGCCACCTCGTATACTTCTTTATTTCCTACAGTTTACCTCTTACTATTTTTTGCACTTTGATGGTGAACTTAAATATTTGTATTTAAATGAATAAAGCACAAAGAGTTAAGCCGAGAATTTCTAATGAACCCAATTTAATCAACACATATGCTAATAGTAAGCAGCGCACTTGACTTTCACGCACATTTATACCAAAGTTAGGCAGAAATTGAGATTAGCAACCTTCCATTTTTCTGCTGTTACCCACAAAGACAATTTTGGCCTCGTAAGTCTTCCCAGGAGTCAAGATCGCACCGTACGATCCGAAGTGATTGCCATATGGGTGAAATAAAAACCAGAAAAGCTCTGAATAAACTGACATTGACTTTCTTTGAATGGAGGCTTTGAGAATTAGAAAGGGAGAAAACACATACCAGGAGAGGGAAAAAAAGGAAAGCAAGGATAAATAATACTCTCTACATCTTAAAAAATACTATGTCTAATAGGTATTGCTTGTTTCATTAAGAAATGTAAACATGCCTCAGTGCTTCTCATTTGCAACTTGTACACACACACACACACACACACACACACACACTATGCTAAGTATAGGAATCCTGCTGTCACCTGAGGAGGGTCAAGGACACAAGTGGCTGGGATAGGCTTCTTCTCTTTCTCCAACTTGGGCTCCAACTCCCGCTCGTCTCCCAGGCTCTCTGGAGTCCCAGACTCTGGGCAGGACCTAATGTAGTCTGAGGGAGGTGGCAAGCACTGTGATGTCACTGATGAAACATCTCAGAGGAACAACCTTCAAAGGTTTGAGGCTATTTGTGTTTAGGGGGAATACAGAAATATGTTGACTAAGACTCTCTTCCTTTGGCTGCCGATTTGTATTACCCACCCACCCCCCCCGCCCCCCGCCCGGGGACTTAAAGTCCTCTCTTCCAGTTGACTTTAGGTGCAATTGATGTGGATTTTTAATTCATCTTTTGGATCTTCATGAGTATCTCTAACATGTGTTTGAAACCTAATAAACCAAGAGTAATAGACTGATATTAACAGATGGGTGCCGAAATTGGTCGCTCCTCTTACGCAGCATGTGAGGGTGTCAAAATATGACTTCTCTTTACCACCCCCATCCTTAACTATTAGAAATGCGAAGACTTTTCTGTCTTGCACACGCACATCCCAAACCGCACAGGCACCAGAATTCAACAGGCATCTCTGGCTCCTTCAAAACTGACCGTACCCCAGGCGGTGAAACTGATCTCTTCAGTCACCTGCTCTGCATAAGATTCCAGCTAAGCTGTATTTTGGAAGTTTACACATTAATATACAGTTTCATCTGAAACAGCTGTGGAAGCCCTGGTTTATATATCTCTGTCAGTAAACCAATACTGCAGTAAACCCATACTGCAAAACTCAGTCCTTTGGAGAGACCTAGGGGGTAAAAGGAGAGTGCATTGAAATGAGGAAACCATAAGTTATGGAATCTGTCCTTAAGAAATGGAATTGTATAACTCAAATATAAACACCAATGAAAACCAGGCTGTTAAGATGAGTTTACAATCAACAGTTCAGATGTCTAGAGGTCCATGGAGCCTCTTGAAATATTTAACCGGACTTGAAAGCATGGGACCCCAGCAATCGTGTTTGCTCAGCAAATCCCTTCTTTATAGATAATAGAGCAAATGCCCCTCTGAATTCCCAGTTAGGGTCAACCCAAATAATGCATCCCCAGAAGGCAAAATCAAGCAAAATTCTTCGTGTGGCTGGGTTCAGAGTCAAATCTCACCCCACTGTTCCTCCTACTCCAGAGACGTTACTAAAAGAAAGACTTTCCATTTCTTCATTTTCAACACAAACCCAATGCTAGATAATGTTAATACAACATTCTGTCACCACATGCCTTGTAAAAAAAGATAGCTTGGTGAAGTGACAGATAGTATATAATAATTACAGTGCAATCGAACATTGGCAATTATCTGTTGCCATCTGGCAAACCTCTTGAATGTTGTCAGATTTCTGTCTTTTGCCTCCAAGCCCTTGCCAGATCGTTTCAAATGCTGGGAGTGTTTTCTTAGTCACCAAGCCACACCCATACCTTTTTTTGACCACTCAAAATTATTTTGTAGGCAATTAAAAAGTTATATATTTATTATAGAAAAATTGAAAATATTAAATCATAAAGAAAATTTATATCAGCCACTAATCTCACCATCCAAAGGGGTGGGGGGGAATCCTCTCTACTACTCTTTATTCACATTCAGGCTGCACAGATACAATCTCAAATTCCCAAGATATTTTTGGTAAAGGAATCTGATACTTGAAAAACCTGTATCTTTTTTGATGCATGTAGAATCAAATTCATACTATACGATGTATTTGGTTTTGTGCTTAGGGGGCAAGCATTTATTTTTTTACATTATTCAACACAGAATTAGCTCTACAATATGTAAAACATTAAATACAATGGGGAAATGTTAACATATTCCAGAACAGCTCACCAACACTGTCATTTTGGTCGAACTGGTCACTTTCAATGTAACTTGGAGGGATAATCCTACCACTTAATAATGAGTCAGTTCAATTTGTTTACTTGGTTGTCCCATTTAAGTTTATCCAATTTATACCAGGGACGACTATGCCCAGTACATTGACAAATTCCCGGATAGAGCCTGCAGAAGCTTCTGCATATTAGTGGCTTATCCTGTGATGTCATCAGAGACTGGGGTTACATTGAGAATTTAGCTTGTTATTAGTTTGACCTAATCTCTCCAGAAAAATATGCAAGCCACCCAGTTACCTGGCACGTATTCAAATGCCTAAGGATCTAGAGATCTTCAGATCTGTTAAAAAAAAAAAAAATCAACATTACTGTCTCTCATTTAAGAAACTGAAAATAACAAGATTTCAAACCTCAGTGCCAAAGTAAATGCATCCCTTTCAATCAACCTTCCTTAAAGTCTGCTGATATTTTCCTTTCTGTGAGCAATCCCCTTGATTTGACAGCATTCATGCCATATCAACTTTCTTTCAAGGTGCTGCTCTGCCCATCAACAAGAAGACGTATTTAAAAATCTTTGACATTATCTCTATGCCTATTACTGTAGACTTTAGCCAAGGGCCAAAAATGTCAACTGAATAATATTCACCTTGACACTGACACCAACGATCTAATTAGCATTTATATCCCCTCCGCCCGCTCACCACCACCATACATTCTTAGGTGTAAAACAGTACTCTTTGAGAATTAATGTTGAGTTCTTGTGCCTTGTTAGCAGCTCACCTAGCTTGTTCAATTTATTCCCCATTTCCATCCACCTTTTTAGTTTGGAAAGTAAAAAGTGAACACCTCATGTCAGTCCATGAGTTTTGTGTCAAGTCTATGACACAATGGGAAAAAATCCGTAAGAAATCAGTAAGGCCTGATGAAAGGTGATAAGCTCTTAACACATCATGGTAATGAATATGATGATGACGGTGTCTTTCTCACCTTCACATCTTCACATCCAGCTCGTCATGGAGCTGCTCAGAAGGAAAGAAACCACTGTCTGCTATTCTTTTTCATTATCCCAAATACCTAAGTACAAGCCCAGAGAAAGAGGAAACCCTATTTCTTGAAGTTCTGTCCATGTCCTTGAAAAAGTAATGATTATTATATGTATTCTTTTTAAAAAATTTTTTTAAATGTTTATTTATTTATTTTGAGAGAGAGAGTGTGTGTGTGCAAGCAGGGGAGAGCCAGAGGGAGGGAGAAAGAGAATCCCAAGTAGGTTCAGCACTATCAGCACAGAGCCCGATGTGGGACTTGAACCCATGAACTGTGAGATCACGACTTGAGATGAAATCAAGAGTCAGATGCTTAACCGGCTGAGCCACTCAGACCTCCTCTTTATTATCTGTATTCTTAAACACTTGTGGTACATGTGTGATTTTTGTCTCACTAACTGGATTTTCACCTCAAAGTCAGGGATAGTTTCTTGTATTTATTTGTTCTCTAGCCACACATCGAACCCACAAAGTATCATAATAGATGCTCCAGAATGTAGAGCAAGGGGCTCAGCCCAAGCCTCCGTCATATTGCATCTCCTACTGAGACTCGGACATGTCTGAGCATGTCCAGCAAACATGAGTGGAGGAGGTTGAGGTCAAGGTCAAATCTACTCCAAAGGATCTAGACACCGCCTGGGATAGAACACTCCTCTGAAGGGAGGTGGTCAAGAAGATACATGTGTTTCAGCAACAGGGAGAATAGTCATTCCACTGCACATAACACAGATTCGCTGGTCCCATGAGAAGCAGATGCCAAGACGGGACTAAACATGCAGAAGAAAAATATATTAGGGGAAATGCCTGGGAGAGAAAATACAGAGGGAGGAGGGGAAACTGAGAGAGTCATCACACAGCAAGAGAAAGAGACAGGGAAAAAGGGAAGGGAGGTTGGGTAGAAGCATCTCAGATACTAGAACTGCAATCCAGTTCTCAGGATAGTTTGAGCAGGCTATTAGGAAGCCTCAGGTCACAGTGGTGCATCAGAGACGGTCCCCGTCTCCCGGGGAGGAGTCAGCCTTCGTATCCCCCCCCCCCCCACCATGCTTATAACTGACTGGGAGCAGCCCATGGCAGGCATAGCTTCTGTTTAAAATGTGATTTTGATTTCGGAGCACAGCAGCTGGGGTCCACCTCAATGATGTCGCTGTGGTGAGAGACACATTCTCGCGGCCACTGTGCCCACATACTTCCCATCCTGCTTCACTACAGCTCAGAGTCCGGGTCCTAGCGGAGAGAGAGGGCCACGCGTGAAAACCCCGGAACTCTTTTAACAATTTAACCTCCGCCGTGTGTAGCGCTGAACGGGACAGAGAGATTCTCACGGACCTCGGCACCTCCGGGGAACCAGCAGTGTTCCTTCCTTCAGTGTCACAGAGCCTGGCCGAAGCAGCAATACCAACGGAGGCTTAACCTGCAGTTTGCATTAAGTGGTGCAGGCCTCAGTAGCAAATAATAGCGGAGAGCAGCTCAAGCCGAAAGAGCAAGAAAATTGCAGGCGCTGCGGTAGCCAACAGGACTTGTGCATGGGTACATATGAGCCACCTCCTCAAGTTGCTGGAAATAATCAGGAGGAACATTACAGGGGCAGGCAGTCTTGCATAACAGGCGGGAGCGAGAGCCAGACAACTAGGTATTCGTCCTTTTTATAATAACCCATTTTAAGTCCTGGGTTGGTGAGGTGACACCTGTTAGCATCATTTGACTTGGAACCAATTAAATTCCTCTTCTCTGGAACAAGTATATTTCTGCTCTATAATAAGATTCTGCAAGCAAACAGCTTTCTCTCAGCACATTAAACATAGCAACCAGGGAGAAAAAAAGAAGCAGCCAAAAATGTGTTTACTACTAGGCTAATACCATCTGCCCTCCAAACACTCCCAGATTTCAGACTGGCTTTGATATTTTTCTGATGGGAAATAAGAATTCAGCAGTCTTTTGATGTGTTGTTACTGAGCCCTTTGGGGAGACCAGCCAGACACGCCTACTCGAAACCTTCTGTTTCCTGGTGAACCTGACGGAGGATTTCACTGAATCTCTTTGGAGAACCTGTCAGTCACACTAACACAATTGCAATTTCAACACGAAGAACGAGGATCAGACAAAACTGCTTGTTCTCTGTGAACGAGTCCGTTTTGGCTCTCGCCGTGGCTGTTACAGCAGAGAGAACAAGGTCATCAAGAATCATGAAAATCCGACTCCGCTCTCTGTAAAGGCAACGATAAAACCGAAGCGCCTCGTTTGCAGAAATGTGGAAGATTAGCTGGAGGCAAGCTACCGGCCAGGTTTCCTTTTGGATGAGGGACGTACTATCTCTGGGAGCCATTGGGCTCTTGTTCTAGAGCCTGGGGAGTAACCTAACCTCTTACACTTTTACAGTAAGCGATGTGAAGTCGCCAGGGACTCATATTCTGGGAATTCGAGCAGCTTATCTGGGAGAAAGCGGTTCAGGCCTCGTCTCTTCAGTTCGCATTTTGCTGGTTCTCGCCCTCATTTGTCATTGTAAAGAGACGAGGGGGTCCCCACACCTCAGGCCAATTTTACCTGTGTCCTCATGGGGGTACCCCTTTAGCGCTAACGAAAAGCCAGCCAGCTAACATTTTCTCCCTCTTCTATTCTGCCCTCTTCTGCTAGATGCTACAGCACTGCCCTTACATGTCACTGAGTCCACTTACATGCCACTCCCACTGGCTACGAACTCAAACGGAAGACGTGCCTGCCACTTCCGATATGCACGAATGCCTCTCCCAGGCATCACCGTGGCTTGCCTCATCCTGTGCCTCCAAGATGCCCTTCCTCTGCAGCCACCTCGGCTGGGTGCCGCCGACTTTGACCATGGCAGAGTTAGACTGGCTTCTGAAGCAAAATGAGGAGGGGCAGTGAGGCAGCGTGCCTCTCTCTGTGTGTTCCGCCCTGTTGAGGAATACCACAGGAGCACCTCCTTGCTCTCATGCCACGGTCTTCCCAGACAGGAGTTCCTGGGGAAGTTCGGCCATGGACAACGTAGAAGTTAAGAGGCATCCTGTTATCTCGGACTCACTTCTTCCCTTCCACCACTAACGTGTGATACCAAACTCACCTTCTCTTGGAGTGAATTCTCTCTCTCGGGAGTTGGCTAAGTTCCCAGGGCAAATCGACCCCCATCAGACTTGCTCTATCGGTACGTAAGACGCGTACTGACGTATCTGGGGATGCGGCACCACAAAGCTCAGGCTCAAGCTCAGGCCATACACCATCAGCATCCTGCGCTTCCTACCAATTGTCTTTCCACCGAGGTCGGAGTGGAAATTGCCTTTTCTGCACTCCAGAAGGCGAGCGTACTATTTTGTGTGTCAGCGGTTTCCTGTCGCTCCCAGATGAGGTTTGAAATCTTCAGCTGCAGAGACAAGATCCTACTGTGGTCGAGCTTCTACACTCACTGCTGCCATCCTCTGCAACAATGCCCAACTTGTCAGCACTTCAGACGTTCTCTGTGTGTGTGTGTGTGTGTGCCATTCCCTTTGATTAGAATATCCTTCCTCCCTTCCCTCAACACCGCCTACTTTTGTTTGATGATCAACAATACTATTGGATTCAAACATCACATTCCCTGATCTTTAAGGCTGGGATCCATGCTGCCCTATATACGACTAATTCCACTCTTTTGTTAGCATTGACCTTCTTGTCCATCTCCCCAGCTTAAGAACAGAGATTGGCTCTCTCACCCCATAGACCCAGTGCCTAGTCAGGTAGTGCAAAGAATGTAGTGGGCACCCCACAGAAGTTTGTTGAATAAGAGTATGTCTGGGGGCACCTGGGTGGCTCACTCGGTTGGGCATCTGACTCTTGATATTGGCTTGGGTCATGATCTCACAGTTCATGAGATCAAGACCCACATTAGACTCTGCACCGACAGGGCAAAGCCTGCTTCAGATTCTCTCTCTCCTCTCTCTGCCACTCCCCCACTCATGTGCTCTGTCTCTCTCTCTCTCTCTCTCTCTCTCTCTCTCTCTCAAAAATAAATAAATAAATAAACTTTAAAAAAAAAAAAAAGGACCACTGGGACCTCATCAAGATAAAAAGCTTCTGACAGCAAAGGAAACAATCAACAAAACTAAAAGGCAACCAAGAGAATTGGAGAAGATATTTGCAAATGACATAATGGGCAAAGGGTTAGTATCCAAAATCTGTAAAGAACTTACCAAACTCAATACCGGGAAAACAAATAAGCAGGTGAAGAAATGGGCAGAAGACGTGAATAGACACTTTTCCAAAGAAGACATCCAGATGGCTAACAGACACATGAAAAGATGCTCAACATCGCTCATCATCAGGGAAATACAAATAAAAACCACACTGAGATACCACCTCACACTGGTCAGAGTGGCTAAAATTAACAAGTCAAGAAACAACAGACGTTGGTGAGGATGTGGAGAAAGGAGAACCCTCTTGCAGAGTTGGTGGGAATGCAAACTGGTGCAGCCGTTCTGGAAAACAGTGTGGAGGTTCCTCAAAAAATTAAAAATAGAATTCTCTATGACCCAGCAATAGGACTGCTAGGAATTTACCCAAGGGATACAGGAGTGCTGATGCATAGGGGCACTTGTACCCCAATGTTTATAGCAGCACTTTCAACAATAGCCAAACTATGGAAAGAGCCTAAATGTCCATCAACTGGAGAATGGAGAAAGAAGATGTGGTTAATATACACAATGGAATACTACTCAGCAATGAAAAAGAATGACATGTTGCCATTTGCAGCAACGTGGATGGAACTGGAGGGTATTATGCTAAGTGAAATAAATCCATCAGAGAAAAACAGATTACCATATGTTTTCACTCATGTGGAATGTGAGAAACTTAACAGGAGACCATGGGCGAAGGGAAGGGAAAAAAAATAGTTACAAACAGAGAAGGAGGCAAACAATAAGAGACTCTTTTTTTGTTTGTTTTCCGTTTTTTTGTTTGCTTTGTTTTATGTGTTTCTCTTTGTAAGAGACTCTTAAACACAGAGAACAAACTGAGGGTTGATGGGGAAGGGCAGAGGGAGGGAGAAATGGGTGATGGGCCTTGAGGAGGGCACTTGTTGGAATGGGCACTGGGTGTTAAATGTAATTGATGAATCATGGGAATCTACTCCCGAAGCCAAGAGCACACTGTATACACTGTATGTTAGCTAACTTAACAGTAAATTATATTTTAAAAAATAAAAATAAAAATAATAAAATCCAGTTGTTTTTGAATGTGATTATATATATTCTTTAATATTTTATCTCATTCCTATGCATTTAGAACAGAAGGTGGAGATTTCTGCATGTACTCGTTCTGTCATGCTAACCCAGAAATGTTGCTTCTATTTTTAAAATAAATTATTACTGAAGTAAACAACAAAAACTAAACTTTTAAGCACCTAAAAATCAAGAAACATGAACCTGATTCCCTAACCCTGAGGTAGGAAGGTAGGTGAATCTTTTTGTTTTTTCCAATTCTCTCATTATGCTTCAAATCATCATGTGGACAATTGTGATAATATCTGTCATCACAGTGACATCTAGTACATTCAACATATCTGGTTTCTTCAATGTGCTTGAGACTCACAAAATTCCTGGAGGAATAAATACAGGTTGTATTATTATCTCCATTTTTCAAATGAGGAAAAGTAAATGAGCCACACAAGTAGTTAAATGGTCAACCCAAGGTGGAGTCTTTACCTTTATATACAAAAGCAATGTCATTCAAAGATGCATATTCCAGATCAAGTGCCCATTTCACCAAGTAAATAATTCTCAAACTTTTAGAAAACATTTGTCAACAAAATTCACACTGAAAAAAATGTTTTAATGGCTTTAAATGAATTATATAACATTAACAAATATTTGAAAAATACTAAGGAGTGTCACGTATCCAGTCCATAGGCTCTGCTTGGTATGAATAAGAATCCAAAAACATTGGTGGTAAGTCTACGGCACCCAGGCACTGATCCAATCTACATCAAGGGAACATCCTTAGTCCTTTAAAGTTTCATGAACAATATTACATAATCAATTTCCACCTGAACTTTTCAAAGAATCAGAAGAGTCTTGATATCATTCGATATGGTGGACTCCAAAATGGATCATTCAGCGGGAATGTATATATTCTACTGGCCTTCTTATAATTATTAGAAAGTAATAAACAAATAAATGACTAAAATATATATATAAATAATAATAAATTAATAAAACTAAAATAAAATAAGAAAAATATTAGACAAGGAGATAAGACAGAATATTCAATCTGCCATCCTTTTTCTAAGGGTGATAAATCTACAATTCTACTAATTACTGAAAGATGTCAGAGAAATTCTTCTTTTCCATTACGTATGCCCCTGTATTCATTATGGAAAGGAAGATCTTGCTCATAAAGGTCAGTACTTTCTTTTATGAATATATTACATGACTATCAAAGATTGAAATGTGGTCTGGCTGTCATATTTTTATAAACCTTTTGTACAATCAATCTTCATAGACAATTTCGTTGCAACGAAATAATTACTACCTAGAACTATCTCCACACAAACTTTTTTTTTTTTTTTTAACTGGAGACAGAGAGTGGGGGAGAAGGGCAACGGAAGAGAGAGGGAATCTTAGGCATGTTCTACACGTGCTCCCATGACCCTGGGGTCATGACCTGAGCCAAAACCAAGGGTTGGGTGCTGAACCCACTGAGCCACCCAGGCACCCCTCTCGACACAAACTTTTAAATCAAATGTATAGCTCCCTTCACTCTTTAAGAATAAAACAAGCGATAAAGTATACATGGGGGCACCTGGGTGGCGCAGTTGGTTAAGCATCCAACTCTTGATTTCGGCTCAGGTCATGATCTCACAGTTGATGAGTTCAAGCCCCTTGTTAGGCTCTGTGCTGACAGCACGAAGTCTGCTTAGGATTTTCTCTCTCCCTCTCTCTCTGCCCCTCTGCCACTCATCCTCTCTCTCTCTCTGTCTCTCTCTCTCTCCGTCTCCCTCCCTCTCCTTCCCTCCCTCCCACCCTTAATAAATAAATAAATAAATAAACTTAAAAAAAAAAAACACCCTATATAATGAGGACTAAATAGGGGAAGAGTTTGTTCTATGTTTAACCTTATTTATAATATTCTTACCATCCTAGATTTGTATGGATTTGTAAAAGCTGTGAGTAGAGAGATTATTCTGTTCTATCTGCTTTATAAATGTGGAAATTAAGGCCAAGAGAAGTCAAATGATGTGACAGAAAGACTCCAGAATTTAGACAATGTAAGAAGCATATCATATATGTATATGTACTTCAATCTCATAAATGACCCACATTATTATCTCTATTGTCTACAGGTAAGACATACTGAGGCTGGGAGAGGTTAGGTAAATGTCAAAAGGCCAGAAAACCAGCAAGTGGCAGACACAGGGTTCAATCCCAGGTTTAATTCCAGGGTCTGAGCTTTGAACCCTTATGCTATCTGATTGCTAATTTCCTGACTTCGATTAATGTTCAAGATTCAGTAATAGGAATAGCATCTCTTTACCCTCAATTTAAAAGTTTTCTGGGCTTCTGGGTGAAGATAGCAGATTGAACATATGCATCTAAGTGTGCTCCCTCTCCAAACCCTACTAAAATAACAGTAGAAAGATTTTTTTTTTGAGACATAAAGCCATAAGGATGAGGAGAATCAAATGGAAAAAAAGCAGCAAATAAATTTCAGAAGCTGTAAAGCAAAAGGATGGGCGTAAC